AGAGTGGCTCAAGCTGTAAGAGTACTTGCTTAGCAAGCATGAGGCCTTGAGTTCAAACCCCAGTGCCGCCAAACAAACAAAAAAAACCTTCCTTCAGGAAATCCAGTAGTTCATACTGGTAATGGATACACACGTGTGTAAATGTTTCAGAGATGAGCTGGACAGATAGAGCTCAAACTCAATAGTGGTGGCCTGTGAAGAGTGGGGAAAGAAAGGGGCTGAGTGAGGGAGGGGGCCTCAACTTTTAATATAAACATTCATTTCTCTTAAAGACTACAATTAAATGAGTTAAATATTATGAAGATACTGACCAATTCTGGATTGTGGTATATGGGTATTTTGTCTTGTTTTTTGTGCTTTTGTATTCTTTAACTTTCTAAAAATTAATAAGCACGTGGGTGAAGATAGGAACTCTGCACCTGTAGAAATCTCATTATAATGGATTAATTCCCAGGTGCTAAAATTTTTATAGAAATAGTTCTAGAATTTTTATCCATGATGACTTGCTGTCTATGTAGTAGGAATATATCTATGAAGTAAATGAATTAAAATTAAAAACAATAGCATACTCCAAGAAAAATGCTTCCGTTACTGGTCGTGTGCAAGTCTGGGACATACATTTTCAGTTCCCTTATGTCGCACTTAGGAACGGAATGACTGGATGTCGTGGTAGGTCAGTGGAGATGCCATACACCTGTTGTTAAACATTCAGATTGTTTCCCATACCTGGCAGTTATAAACAGGGCTGCTATACACGTGAGTTTGCTCTTGCGTGAATATAGGTTTTCACACTCCTAGGGCAGACACCCAGGAGTGGGATTGCTGTGTGGTGTGGGAAGTCCTTTTCCTGAGTGGCTGCACTATGTTGTGAAAATCCCCTTGCTCTTGACCTTCACCAGTGCTTAGCCTTGTCAGTAGTTTTATTTTAACCAGTCTAGTAGGTAGTGCTAGTGAAAAATGGCTTACTGGGAAGTCTGGTACTTTGTTTCCAAACATTTTGGGGTTTTCTGTGTTTCTAAACCTCTTTCTGCTATTGGTTTCTAAAACAATTGTGTTGTGTTCAGAGAACATGGTTTTTATGACTTACATTCTTTTCAACTTATTCAGAGTTGGTTCCAGGCGTGATGGAGCTATGTGTGGTGGAGCCAGGTATAGTGGTACCCTGCTATAATCTCAGCACTGGGGTGGCTGAAGCAGGAGGATTTTGAGTCTGAGGCTAGCCAGAGCTACACAGTGGGACTCTGTCTCAAATTTTTTTTTTTTTGGTTTATGACCATGGATAAAGTTTGCTATGGTAAATGTACATATGTGCTTGAAAAGAATTTGTAACCTGCTCTGCGTGGCATTGTGCTCTGAACTATCAATCAGCTTGTTAGTTGATTGTATTTACAGTTCAAGTTTTCTGCATCTTTACTCATTTTTTTGTCTAGGTGTTCTGTAAATTGAAAAAAGAATTTTGGATCTCAGCATCTAATAATTATGGATTTGTCTATTCTCAGAGAATCTCTGTCAGTTTTTGCTTGAAGTATTTTGAAGCTCTGTTACCAGGTGCATGAGCATTCAGGGCTGCTGTGCCCTCTGATGACTTGACACCTTATCACGATGAAATTAACGCATTTATCCTAGGTGATAGTCTTTGTCCTGGTCTGATTTGAATGCAGCTACTCTGGCTTTCTTTTGATGGTGTCAGCCTGGCATATCTATTTCTACCTTTTTAGTTTTGAACTCTAGCTGTCTTTATATTTGAAAGAATTTTAATACGCAGCACAGCACACGTTGATTCTTTCTCACCTAATATGACAATTTCTTTTCGTAATAAAAACATCGTATCTACTTAGAAGCATTCAGAGTGTCAACAAAACAGCTACAACTCTTTTTTTGCAATTACAGAGCGGTGTTTGGTTAGAGAGCAGTAATCTCTCTTGGTAACACCTTTCATGCAATGCACTACTAATGTTCAACATCGGCCTTGTCTTTGAAACATACGGAACGTGGTTGTAACTTTCTATCGCTAACTCTGATACATGAACCAATTCCAATTGGCTCCAACCATTTCATTTTTCTTGTTACTATTGTGGCTTATCTTTTCTTGCCTCTGCATGCCAGGTCATTTTTTTTTTTTTTTTTACTGTATCCCAGACATTGTGAATTTCAACTCACTGTAGGCTGGATGTTCCTGGTTATTTTTGTATTCCTTGAGCTTTGTTTGGGGATGCAGTTAAGTCATGCAGAAACGGTTTGATATTTTAAACCCTAAGACTTGGTGCATGACACTAGGAGCATTTTTTCTTGGTCTCATTTTTCCACTACAGAGGCCATATTCTTCTGAGTACTCTTCCCAGAGTTTGTGAAGTATAGGATTTTCTGTATGGAGGGCAGAAACAGGCATTATTCCTGGCCCTTCGTGAGCTCATTACTATTCCCAGTAAGGAATTCTTTCCCCAGTCAGCTGGTCTCCTCCCCCATGCTCTGGAAACATCGAAATGTATTCCAGCCTGCAAGAAATGATAATGATGGCTACAGGGCCTTCACAGGATTTCTGGGGACCTCAGACACTCTCACCGTGCAAACCCTACACGTGCCTTCATATACTACGTGTCTTCAAGTGTATGCTGTGTTCCTCCGTAAATGCTTTTTAAAAAACTGTAACATTTGAAATCCTTTTCATCAGCATCTTGCACAGTTCCAAGTTTTCTGAAGTACAGATTACTTGTTCTCTTCTTGTAGATTTGGAGAAGCTACAAGACTGGCGCTGATGAGTTATAAATGTTTCCGCAGATGTTCACTTATTTTGACTTTGTAGGGATGTTAGCCAGTGTTTTTTCCATGCCTCAGACATTTCTGTAGACCCTTGAGAATACCATAGGCTCTGGCACTATGCCTACAGAATTCCTGGGTGGGCAGCAGTGGGAAAGAGAGAAGGGGACAAATTGAACAGCAGGAAATGGAATGCTTGAAAAGCATCTGATTGGAGGTGAGGGAGAAGGAGGAATCATGGCTCACAGCCCAGCTGGCTTCAGCAGAGCTATTCGAAGAGCCCTCAAGCCAGGGGAAGGTGTTCACTGGAGGAGAGATGGCGAATTCCATTTGGGACAGAAGGGCTACTAAGCTATCAGGAGGTGACCAACAGACAGGATGCCAAATTCCTTTCCTTCCACCACAACACACATCATCTTGGGTTGACTTGGAAGATACCTGTCTCTTCTGATAGCCTTGCTAATATGAAGGCCATGTCCTAGGAATGTGATAAATAGGGAAAGTTCCCGCCTCTGGAATAAATAGTCCCCATTGTGCTAGAGAAGGTTGGCGGGCTGCCTTCTTGTTTCTCTTTGTTCTCAAAGTGCTTTTGCTTACTTTGCTTCTCAGCCTCTCAGAGTTCCACAGAAGTTCCCAGTGCCACCTCCTGTGATGTCATCCTTCAAAGAAAGTTGGACTCCAAAGATGAGACTCCCTATATTTCTAAGAAAGGGACCGATGGAGATTCCGCCCCCAACAGAGAAAGACTGGTCTAAGGATGATGATGACGAGTGTGTCTTCCGTGACTTGGACCCGTGGCTGGATCCCCTGCCTCAGCCTTACCGACTGATAAACAAGCTGGTGAACCTTCTGTTTGACCGGTGTTGGGAAGTCATTGAAGAGAGGGAGGCATTGAGGGAAGATGAGAGAAGCCGGGTCAAGCCCACCATCTACCCTCCTGTTGCAGAAATCCCGGTATGGAGCCAATGGCTGACCAGGAGTCGCCTTCTCAGATGAGTGCTAATGAATGCAAACACCTGATCCAGGGAAGGAATTCCTTCCAGAAACCTTCGTTCAATAGGACAGGTGCATTTTTGAGAGATTGTAGGCAGGCTGCAGCTGACCGAAGAAGATCTGGTCATTGCCTGAGGAAACAGGGTGCTCTGGTTCATTGAAGATTATACTGAAGGCCTCCTTTTGAATTCAGTGCTGCTGTTAAACCTTTCTCTTAATGTATTAATATGACTTCTTGCTTGACAATGCCTCAGCTGTTAGTCTTCCCATGGTGCACTGGGTTAAGAAAGCACAGGCCCCATGGTCATGTGTAGTGTTGGGGGTGTACTTGACTACTTTGTTTTCTCTGGCCTCTTTCCCCTAAAAGTGAAATGCTGTGAATTTTTAACTCTAAAATTTAGATGAGCACTATTTTGGGATGACATACCAAGGAAGAACCCCAGGCCCTCTTTGAAAATTTAGCTTGTATTACTTGAAGACAGTGAGAGCTGAAAATAATTCTTTTTTCTTTGTTTTTGTTTTCCTAGCTCAACAAAGTACCCAACTGTATGGCTGTTTCCCAAGACTATCTGTTTATTGGCGGAACCAGGGGATTCTCAATCTACAATCTGTACACTAACCGGACATATGTTTGGGAGAAATTGAAGGTTGATGTCACTTCCATCTGGGCCACAGATTTAGGGAATGAAATACTTCTCACTCTTGTGGATGAAATGGGTATTTTTTCCTTCATCTTCCTTTTTAGCCCAATTTATAGGCACCTGTAAACTGTTACCTTCAATGTTACCTTCTTTTCGGGTATGAGTGGAGCCAGGCATGGAGAGTTCTCTGGTCTACAATGTAAGTGGGATGTGCCAGGCATTATTCTAACACTTCACATGTGTTAGTCCATTTTGTGCTTAAAACAGGCCTAGGGAAGTACAATTTATTGTCATCCCTGTTCAAAGGGACCTTGGAGACATAGAGGTTGAGTATCTCCCTTGAGGTAACATGGAAAATAAGTAGCACAGGCCAGCTGCAAACCAGACATTATAACCCCAGAGTCGACACCCTTCCAGCACTCAGCAGTCCTGCCACTCATGTAAACCAGAGCTTTCTTTACCCTGGGCCTGAGGATGGACCAGGCCTTCCTGGGGAGTACGGCGTAGAAAACTGTAGATAGTGCTCTGCTTAGATGAGCTGTAGCTAATAGTTGCCCCCAAAAGGCTGGGCTTCCTCTAGGCTGTCCATGTGTTTGAATGACATACCCTGCTGCCATGGATATGGGGCGCTTCCCTACTTTGTAAGAGATGAGAAAGCAAGTACCAGCATTGGCCGTGTGGCTATATGACATTGGGACAAGCAGAGCAGAATGTTCCTGCTCACCTTGAGTCATTGATGAAAAGCATGTATCTCTACACAACAGGCTCAGCTCCATCAACACAGCCACACTGATGTACTCTCTGGCAGGAACTTGAAAAGTCAAAACAAGAAGGAAAGAGACCAGAATAAGAGAAATGATGAAGTTCTGAGCCGGGGCAGGGCTGTCCAAATGAAAAGAAAATCCCTGTGTTATGTAGGATGTTACCATTAGGGGAAGTGAGATGAGAGATACAAGGGAGCTTTTGGTACTATCTTTGCAACTTCTCTATAAGTGTGAAATTAGCCAAAAATAAAAAAAACTCAAAAAAATGAAAAGAAGATGGGAAGATATAATGAGTGTTGAAATCCATGAATGGGGTGGGATAGAGGAGGACACACTAGGGTAGGGCAGAAAAACGACTCCTCCTTTCTGCCGTAGATAGCTGGGTGGTTGTGATACAATCCTTGATACCAATGGTAGAAGTTATTTCAGGTGCCTATGAGCTGACTGTGCATGGAGATGAGGCTCCTGGAGGACATCTGTGTGGGAACATTGACCCAGGAGTTTGGTCTAAAGAAAGGATAGGATTTTTCGTGCCCTGTTACACTAGGGCATGATAAGTTTAAGGGCAGACACCTCTTGTGTCCCTAGCATCTTTATTGACACAGTGCAGATATCTCATGCATCCTTATTAGGTGGACTTAGGCTTTTACCTGCAGTGGGCCAGATGCCTTTATGAGATAGCCATCCTGGGTGCAAAGGTAGGTGGGGAGACCAGGAGCAGTGCAGCATGTGCAGTGGCTCAGGATGGCAACTTCAGAGTCCCATAGAAAACCCCAGCTCTTCTTGGGCTCTCTTTTGTCTTATGTTTTCACTTATTGTTCTGTTTCAGGCATCGCTAGACTGTTTTACTTTTATAAGGACACTCTTTTCCTAATCAAAGCTATCAATGAAGTGGTGAGTTCCTGTTCTTTTATCTTTAGTCACTACAAATCTCATAATGCAAATCGCGTATTGTATATAAAGCTGTATTTATATATTATATATATAATATATATATAAATATATATTATATATATAAAATATAAATATACATTTATATGAATATGTAAAGCTGTAGCAAATCAGTTTTATTTTTAATACAGAGCAATGGTAACTGTCCTAGATTAGGAAGAAATAGATGCATCCTGGATCAGAGAGCCTCTTCCAAAATATCCAATTAAAAGATCCCCACCATCAGAGGTACGCGCTGAATACCTTGGATTTATTTACCCTGTTGTCAAGGGAGGAAAAGGACTAAGGAACTACAGTCTAGATTTTTTTCTCTTGAGCAGAACCAACACATACAGTGAGTACTTAAAAGTTCTCAGATCTTCCCAGGCTGTTCCACATTGCTGCCCTTCTTACCATCTGTGCCTCTTAATTTTCTCCGTTCTTCAAGACCAGCGTCACATCTCCTTTCCTGAGTACGGTCCCTCAGATGCTCAAAGTCACTGATCTCTCCTCCTCTTCTGCCACTAAGGAGAGCGTAATTTCTATTACTGAGTTTTCTGAACTCTCTGCATTTATTGTATTGGTTGGTCTGACTGCTTCTTCTCCTGGATGTAAGTCCCTTCAGGCAGAGGAACTGTCTCATTCACCTTTGCATCCCTTGTTCCTAGCACATTGCCTGGTAATCTGTAGTCCTCAGGAAGTGTTTTCTGAATTGATAAATCCCCCAAAAGATAGATTTTTCTCCAGAGAGAATTTTTTATTGCAATTTCTCTTGTAAAAAAAAAGGTACTTTCCATGGGCACCAAGGCAATTCAATGGGGAAAATATTTTTAACAGCTGATGCTAGATCACTGACTAGACAAACAAAAGGAAAAAGTGAACTTCAACTTACTGTGTACAGTATGTAAAAATTAATCAGGTGCTAATTTCTACAGCACATATACTAAAATCAGAATGAGAAGATTAGCAGGGCCTCTGCACAAGGATGGCACACAGATTCATGAAATGTTCCACATAACATTAAAAAATTAATTAGAGGGCTGGGGCCGTGGCTCAGGTGGTAGAGCACTTGTCTAGCGTGCATGAGACCCTGGGTTCAACCTCCAATACCACAAAAAAGGTTATAGACCTAAACATGAAACCTAAAATCATAATTATTCCTAACAAAAATGAAGGAAAATATTTTTGAAACTTTGGGGAGAACAAAAATTTCTGAGGACGTGAAAGCAGTAACCAAAAAGAAAAAACTTACTCCTCGTATTACATAAAGAGCAACTAAAATAAATCACATACCTATGTACAAAGCTCAAAGTTGTGAGGCTCCCGGAAGGAAACAGAGGAGGAACCCTTATGATCTCAAGGTAGGCAGATTTTTTTAGCTACAATACCAAAAGCCCAATTCATAAAAGATTGATAAATTGGACTTCATCAAAATGAAAACCTTCTGTTCTGCCAAAGATACTTTATAATAAAAAGAAAAGGCTGCAAATCACATTATTTGATGAGGGACTTGTATCTGGAATATATAAACAGCTTTCCATAGCATGCAGAAAGATGATTTAGATGACCCAAGCATTATATGCACATATGAATAATAAAAAAATAAAAATTAAAAAAAAAAAGATGATTTAGGAAGCTCTTACAAATTAAAAGAGACTGAAGGAGACATGAAACCATCAATCCTGAAAGGTGTTCATGACACAAGACATTTGCAGAAGCTGTAAAATAGACAAATTTGGTACTTTTTAGTAATTACTGTTAATATTTTAGGCTTTCTTTTTTTTTTTTTTTTTTTGGCTGCACTGGGGTTTGAACTCAGAGCCTCACACTTGCTAGGCAAATGCTCTACCACTTGAGCCACTCTGCCAGCCCAATATTTTAGGCTTTATTTAAATAAAAAGTCATTTATTAAGCTTAGGAAGTAATAAGATTTGGCATATGTTGAGAAATACATACATGGGGGTTCATTATGTTATTTTCTGTTGTATGTTTAAAATTTCTCTAACAGGTTGATACTAAAATATATAGATAAAATTTGGCTAGCGTAGTGCTCCACCCCTGTAAATCCCAGCTATTCAGGAGGCAAAAGCAGGAGGATCACAAGTTGAAGGCCATCCTGGGCAAAGTTAGGAAAAACGAAAAATGAAAACCAAAGGATTGGAGCCATGGCTCGAGCAGTAGAGCACTTATCTAGCAAGTTCAAAGCCTTGGGCTCAATCCCCAGTACAGAAAAATAAATAAGTGAACAGTTTAACTATTTCTCTTAATTAGGGAGCTTCTCAACATAACTAGTCCAGTCCCTTATTTTCCTAGTAGCCTTCAAGCTCCTTAAAGGTATGGCATAACCACACACACACAGCCTTTCTCAACCTGAGGTTTCATACTAGGCTGTCATCCAGCCTCACCGCAGTGTAGATGGAGCCAAACACCACACAGAGCTTATTTCAATTCATTTGAAGACTCAAGTGTCAGCACAGACTTTAGGTTGCAGACCTGACCAGGAGATCCAACAGCACGCCACAGATCACCAGGGAATGTCTAAAGCTTCCCCCCACATACACTTTTTTTGGTGGTACTGGGGTTTGAACTCAGGACCTTGTGCTTGCTAGGCAGGTGCTCTATCACTTGAGCCACTCTGCCAGCCCTGTTTTTTGTATTGGATTTTCTAAAGATAGGGTCTCACAAGCTATTTGCCTCAAGCTGGCTTCAAACTGTGATCCTCCTGATCTCTGCCTCCTGAGTACCTAAGATTATAGGCGTGAGCCTTTGGTGCCCACCTCTAAACCCTTTTGACAGGAAAGCACACTGTGCTTCGTCACCTTTCATCCAGTTGATTCCTGTGCAAAGACAGAAGGGTGAGGCATCTTTCATGTCCAAGCTTTCAAAGGACTTCCTGGGTGTGAACCACCAAGGCTGACACACGCCTTGGACCAGGCTGCACCCTCTCCATGTCATCTCTTTCCTTTTCAGGATGACAACAGCAAGCAAAGCATCTGTGTGAAGATAGAGGTTTCACAAGCTGGTGACTTCGCTGCCTTCCTCCTCCAAGGCAAGGCCACCCAAGGCTGGGAGGGAGGCTCAGGTTGGCATCGCTTCCAGATGGCCTCCCCGACAGTTTCTTCTTTAGAAGCAATTTGGTGGCTCAAGCGGTACAGTACCTGTCTAGCAAGCGTGAAGTCCTGAGTTCAAACCTGAAAACCACGCAAAAAATGATAATAATTTTAGATTTAGAGATTTGCAAAGACAGCACAGAATCCCACTATGCCCTTCCACCTGGCTTCCCTAACACCCACACTAACATGACAGTGGTACATTTGTGGAGATTAAGCCATTGACATTGTCATTAGCGAGTACTATTTTTAGCTAGTAACTGTGAACCACAGATTTTTCCCTGACTTCAACAGTTTTCCACTAACATCATTTTTTTTTGTTGTTCCATGGTTCAATCCAGTCTGCCATACTGTATTTTAGTCACATGTCCCCTTACTCTACTCTTACCTGTGGTGGCTTCTTAGTTGTCACATGCTTTCTTGATACTTCGCAAGAGACCCAGCCAGGTGTTTGGTGGAGCGTCAATTTCAGGTCGATGTGTTTCTCAGGATTCAACTGGGACTAGGATTTGGGGGAGGATAGCGCCAAGGTGAAGTTTTCTCATCTCACCCCCTCAAGGGCTGTGTGACAGCAGGGGGACTCAGACTGTGCTGATGTTGACCTCACTATTTGCCAGGTTCCTCCAGGCTGGCTCAAGTGATCCTCCTGCCTCAGCCTCCTGAGTGGCTGGGATTACAGCCGTGCACCACCATGCCTGGCTTTGTTTTGCCCTTTCTATACTGTATAAGGAGCAAGTCACTAGGGCCAAACCACACTTAGGGAGGTGATTTAGGCAGCTCTGGAGGCGGAAAACCAAAGAGTCTCAGACACATATTAAAGCTAGCACAGTAAATGAAAACCATTTTGGGGAGCTAGGGCTTGGGACAGCACAAAATTCCATGTCTTCCTAAAGGCATACCTGCCAATCTGAGCACCCACTATACCATCCTGCCTGCTGCAGTTAATACTAAGTTTACAGAACACATTTAACTCAAACGTTCCCCATTTGCTGTTTTCAGTTTTAAGTATTTACACATATGGTGTATGGACTGCTATTTATACTTTTCCCCAAAGGGCCCTCGGATGTTAGATGCTTGATGAAGTTACAAGTTTTGTAATGCTTTATGTATCAAAGGAAACGTTTATATCATCTGTGTTCGTTTCCTGGGGCTGCCATAACACAGTGCCACTAATCGGGTGGCTTAAAACAACACACACTTCTTTCTTGTGGTTCTGGGGTCAGAGTGTGCGGTTAACCTGTCCAAATGGTCACGTTTTTAAGGAAGCAGTTAGGCAGGTTCTCCACCATGGGAAAGCCAGGTTTCCCAGTGTGGTGGGTGTTCAGTACAGAAGCCGAGACTATTCTGTGACAAGATAAAAGCCCACACTCACCCCACATGTTGTCACCTCCTCAAATATCGGTCAGAACCCTTCAAGACCTTCCCCACTTCTGACTGCAGTTCTTCCTCTGCTGTAGCCCTCTGCTACTGCTCCTATATGTGCCAGCTTCCTTCACAGACAGGTGTCATTCCAGGGCAAAATGTCAATAGCAGTTACTGTTTGCAACCCAGAAAGCAGGCAGAGCAGAGGTGTGGTCAAAAGCCATGTTGTCTCAGTGCTGTGAGTGTGAGAAGCCCCGGATGATGGTGGCTTGAGGGGCCAGCTCCACAGGAAAGTTATTTCTGGAGAAGGCCTTGTGAAAACCATTGCAAAATTATGTGTTCCTTCCATTGACCTGCATTATGGTCCTCGGGTGCCCACTGCAGAGGGGCGTCCCTCGGCCAGCAGTTCTGAGAAGTCAGGCCTTCCCTTGGCCACACCTCCGCCTTCCTGCAGTTACTCAGTAGTCGTTCTCCCAACACAGGAGCTGCAGATGTGTGGCTGGAGGTGTATAAATTGCCCAAGGATTCTTGGCTCAAGGAAGTGGAGCACCCCCAACTCACTCTAAATTCAAAGAAAAAAGTCAGACTGCTGCAGCAGGTAGGGAACAGCCCCGTGTCCAACCGATGGTTTTCCCCACCTGTGATGCACATCTCGTCAAGCCCTGATTGGAAGCTCCAGACCAGTGAGGCCTCTGGAGTCTGTTGTCTTTGGATAAAATGACTATTAAAAATAGAGATGGCCTGAGTAGCCAGAAGCTCAGTGTCTCTCTTGTCTGGGAGTTTCCTCTTCTGCGACCCCTCCCAGACAGTTGTTTGGAAGGAGGCTCTCTTTTTCTACTCCTACCACATAGGTAATTTTTTTTCCTTCTGGACTGAAATAATCCTTTCATGCCTTGAATTCCATGAAATTCCCCAGACTTTGGTATATGGAAGTATTCTCCATACATAGAAATATACATATTCTCTATGTAATTCTTTTGTGTATGTGTGGGACTGGGGTTTGAGCTTAGGACTTTGAATTTGCAAAGCAGGTGCTCTACCTCTTGAGGCTGTCTGTGCTCTTCTTAGAAGGTAGGCAGGGGTAGGAGCTCTACCATTTCAATTTAATTGTATGATGCCTGAGCCTTACGCTGTGCCTTTAAGATCTAATTCCTTTTTGGGTGCTGGTGGCTCATGCCTGTAATCCCTGCTACTTGGGAGGTTAAGATTGGAAGGACTGTGGTTTGAGACCAGTCTGGGCAAATAGTTGGAGAGAGCCCATCTCCAAAATAGCCAGAGCAAAATAGACTGGAAGTGTGGCCCAAGTGCCTGCTTTGCAAGTATGGACCCCAGTCCTGCAAAAAAAAAAATCCTGTAGGCAGGCAGGGACCGCCCAAGTACTGGTCATCCATGTCTGTGCATGAATTCACTTCTCACAGGAGGAGTGGGGGCAGGGAGAAAGCATCTCAGAAGTACAAAACTGGGGAGCACATGTCAGACCTATCATGAACCAGTTTCTCGTTTTTCTTCTCAGAGCACTCTTGATCCTGCCAACACGGATAGTTCAGAAGCGGTAAGAAACTTCAAAGAAAATCTCCAGAGAGATGTAAGGTGCCCATAAAGATGCTTGTTCTTACTTGAACATGCACCAAATATACTATAAAATGTCCCACAGTGTCACTATTCTTTGTGACTTCATCTCATGACTCACGTCCACTGAAGATAGCCTCCTGTCCTTGATGTAATTGACCCAAGTCATTTGTCCAGAGGTGGCTTTACCACCTCAGTTAAGGGAGCTGAAATTTCAGGGCCCTCACTTACATGGCGCCTTCCACGGCTCTGAGCGGGGCCTAGCCATGTGCTCATGCTGGCCTTGTCGTATTCTTGCAAAATTTGCAAAAATAAAATGTGTTAGTCCCAGTCACTAAAGACCACTGTCTCTTCCCCTGCACAGGTTCGCATGTTTTGGGTGGTACTCAGTTGTCACGGGCATTTTTGTGTTCATAGTTTTAGGTTGTTTTTTTAAAGAGGGCCCCATGAAAGCTGAATGTGATCCAGCAAGGCCTGGGCTTCCCTGACCCTCTGAGCAGGGAGCACACTGTTTCCTGAGGCCTCGCTCTCTGTGACTTGGAATCTAGAGCCCGTCCTTTTCTCCCTTCTTAAGTCACTCTGTGTTTTAAACGACACAAATAACAGAAGACTTCGCCACCCTTGGAAGAGTCAGGCAATTCAGATAAACAGAGCTCACAACCATATTAGCTCAGTGTGGGTGATTTCTAGATCTATACTGTGCAGTTATATTATAATTTATATTGTAACATATTTTAATTGTGGGTTGGTTTTTTTTATACTGGGACTTGAACTCAGGGCCTACACCCTGAGCCACTCCACCAGCCCTTTTTTGTGATGGGTTTTTTTCAATGTAGGGTCTTGTGAACTATTTGCCCTGGCTGGCTTTGAACTACAATCCTCCTGATCTCTGCCTCCTGAGTAGCTGGGATTACAGGTGTGAGCCACGGCGCCAGGCTATTTTAATTGTTTATTTTGAAAAAAATGCAGTTTTGGCCTATGGGATTTTTTTCTACATAAGTGGCAATGTAATATATATATATATATAACTAATTTTTGGCCTGGTTTTCTGTCAAACAACCCTGCCTGTTCTTTTGGCCTGCTGTGTGCCACCCCACTCCATATCACAGATAAGCCACACTTCCCAAAGCTGTCAGGCTCAATTTGGAGCTTTTACACAAAGCATGAAAACCTTTGTGTAGTTTTCTTTGCATCCCAAGGAGTGCCTCCCAAGGGTATGCGTGTTTTTAGTTTTACTATTTTAAATATAATTTTAAATTAAAAATTCAAAATATTAAATAAATTTAAATGTAATTTTAAATTTAAAATACTAAAAATATTTTAATATAATTTATGTAATCTTATATAAATGGCCTGAAATTTTACTATTAATCATTTCCCCACAGCTATTACTTAATTTTTTTCAAAGCTACAAAATGACCTCTCTTCTTTCTCTTTCTCTCTCTCTCCCTCCCTCCCTCTCTCGTGCTGGGATTTGAACTCAGGGCCTGTGCATGCTGGGCAGACGCTGTACTACTTGAGCCGCTCCACCAGCCCCTTTCACTTTACTTATTCTCTGGATAGGCTCTTGCTCTTATTCCCAGGCCAGGCTGGATCTTCCATCCTCCTATTTACACCTCCTGCCTAGCTGGGGTGACACCACCATGCCCGGCTTATTGGTTAGATTATGTCTTTCTAACTTTTTGTCCAAGCTGGCCTTGAACCATGATCTTCCTGATCTCTGCCTCCCGAGGAGCTGGGATTACAGATGTGAGCCACCGCACCCAGCTTTTTTTTTTACACTCCACACAAGCTCTCTACCATTGAGCTACATCCCTGGCCCAATCTTGGGCCATTCTTGGATAGTTTTTATCTGATCACGACTCATTTAATTATAATATCAATTTGCCTTACTAATACTAAAATCCTTAATAAAGTGTTAACAAAGCAAATTGATCATTCTGTGTTCACTGACAGTTCTATGTTCATGAGTGACTCCAACTTTAAACACGAGATTGGCCTAGGTCGAGTCTTTGTGTGGATGGTTTTCTGGTCAGCTTTTGGTGTCGCACGGTAAGGATGATTGCACCTCCTGTAGGTCTGAATAAGCCTGAGGTCTTTCTAGGCAGTAGATTTTGTGCTACTTTTTCAGTTTCCACTGTGGTGATCAGTCCATCATTTTTTACTATTTTGATCCAATTTCAGTCATACTTCATTTAATTTAGACATTAGAATTCATGAGGACACGTGTGTACGTGTTTTCCCTGTCACATAAAGATAAAACACCACCTGTCTCTCACGTTAGCTCCCTTTCTTGCTCCTAATCTTTCTCCCAATGTTATTTATTTGTGTCCTTTTCAAACTTATTTTTCTTTTGGAGGTGTTAGAGATGATCTTTCTTTAAGTGGTTTCTAATTTAATTCCCTTGTGATCGGAGAACGTCCATCATGTAACTTGAATCTTGAAGTTAATCAAGATTTGTTTTATGCCCAGAATACAGTTTATCTTGGTAATTGTGCTAGGAAAGAAAGTGTACTCTGCTGTCGTCGGTCCCCTCAGTCAGGTCTTCTGTGTCCTCGCTGCTACGTTCTCACTCTGTTTACACATACTATCCCTTATTGAGGAGAGTCTCTAAGGTTATAGACAGGTCTGTTTCTTCCACATCTGTGAAGTTTTGCTTTGTGTACTTTTAGCTCTGTTATTAGATGTATAAAAATTTGGAATGTTACATTTTCTGACGATCTTATCACTATGTACTGACCATTTGGTTCCTGGTAATTTCCTTTGTTCTGACTGAACTCTTTCTAAATCATTTTTTAGTCTAGCCACTCTGGCTTTTCTTTTGATTAGTTTTATTTATTTATTTTTTTTCATTTTTCTTTTATTATTCATATGTGCATACAAGGCTTGGTTTATTTCTCCCCCCTGCCCCCACCCCCTCCCTTACCACCCAGTCCGCCCCCTCCCGCTCCCCCCCTCAATACCCAGCAGAAACTATTTTGCCCTTATCTCTAATTTTGTTGTAGAGAGAGTATAAGCAATAATAGGAAGGAACAAGGGGTTTTGCTGGTTGAGATAAGGATAGCTATACAGGGCATTGACTCACATTGATTTCCTGTGCGTGGGTGTTACCTTCTAGGTTAATTCTTTTTGATCTAACCTTTTCTCTAGTTCCTGGTCCCCTTTTCCTATTGGCCTCAGTTGCTTTAAGGTATCTGCTTTAGTTTCTCTGCATTAAGGGCAACAAATGCTAGCTAGTTTTTTAGGTGTCTTACCTATCCTCACCCCTCCCTTGTGTGCTCTCGCTTTTATTTTTTGATTAGTTTTAGTAAGCTATATCACTTTGATACTTTTAACATATTTGTTTCTTTATATTTAAACTGAGCTTCATGGGTTTTTTTTCCCTTTTGAGATAGGGACTGGCCTTAAACTTGTGATCCTACTGCCTCAGCCTCCCAAGTGCTGGGATTACAGGCATGCACCACCATGACCAGTGTAAACTGAGTTTCTTTTTGACAGCATATAATTGGGTTTTGTCTTTTTATGCAATCTGATCTTCTCTGCCTTTTTTACTGGAATATTTAGACCACATAGGTGTAGTGTGTTCACTAGTATGTTTTGGTTTAAATCTACCACCTTGCTGTTTACTTTCTGTTTGTGACATCTGGTTTTTATTTTCATCTCCCCCTTTTTCTGCACAGACTTCTTTTAGAATGGATATCTTTACGGTTTCCATAGCACTGCTTTGCTGGCTTATGTCTGTGTCTTTTCCTTATTTTAGGAAGTGAACATTTCCTTTAGAGGTGATGTTAAGCTGACTCTCCCCATCTTCATCATGAAGATCAAGCCTCCGAAGCCCATAACAGGTGCGTGCAGCTCAGCTCTAAGTTATACCCACCTCTCTTTCCTTTGCCATTGATTTCTCTGTTTTTTCCTTCCTAACCTTTCTCCATATTTCTTATTTTTCCCATTTATTAGCAGCAATATCTGATTAAAATTATCATTCTTTCTTTTTTGTGGTACTGGGATTTGAACTCAGGGCCTTGGGCCTAAGAGGCAAGCACTCTACTACTTGAGTCATGCCCTCAGCATAAATGCATGGTTCTAAAGAGGGAATTTTTAAAAACTCACAACTGCAGGACCTAAAAACAAAAGAAAATATAAATATTGTGTTGTAAGGATGCAACGAGCAGCATTGGAAATGAAGAGCGAGGCATGGTTTCTGAGGCTAGGTGGGGTTCACTCATGCTTACATTTCTGAATCATTCATTATCGGTGTTTGCTAAGTGCCCATATTCCACCAACCACGGAGATGAGAAAGATATGCCTCCTGCTCTCCAGAAGCTGAAGGTCTACCAGAGGAGAAGGAAGGAAGCCACCATAGGAGGAAGTGACAAGTCCAGTAATGGGAACACAGGACCATGGAAACAGGGAAAGGAGTGACCAAGTCTGCCCAGAGAGGCGACAAAGACTTCATTAGAAAAGAGACATTCAGGCAGGGTTTTGAAGAGTGAGTAGGAGTTGGTCAAGAGGAGCAAAGGGGTTGAATTATAGGCTGGGAGTACGGAATATCTCAGCCTCACACGAAAGTGTTCACTGTAACATTTTTTACAGAGGTACCAGGTTGTTTAGAAAGATCTGATATGCAAAGGAATACTTTGCAACCATTAAAAAACAAAGGGAAATGCAAAGAGCCAAGAACAACCAATTCACTTTTATAAAGGAGTATGGTGCAGGACTTGCTATGTCAAGATTGAATGCAGGCCAGGTAGGGTGGTTCATGCCTGTAATCCCAGCTACTTGGGTGATGGAGGTAGAAGGGTCATGGTCAGCCTGAGCAAAAGGGCTGGAGGCTCAAGTGGTAGAGCGCTTACCCAGCAATCATGAGGCCGTGAGTTCAATCCCCAATTCCGCCAAAAAAAGTATTTAATATAAAGTGACAGTAATAAAGAAAATATGAGTGAATAAAACCATAGATGAACTATAGATAAGTAAAAATAGTAGACAGAAAGATAGCTGAATGAAACAGGTGGAAAGGCCTGAACATAAATAAACAGCCCAGGCATGGAAGGACACTGTGGAGTGATGGAGGTGGCACTGGCAAGAGGTGGAGGAAGGACAGTCTTCTCAGCAAATGGTGCCTGTGTCCAGACAGGGACAAAACTCGAGCCCCACCTCACACCACACACAAAGCTGAACCAGATGAATTGCAGAAGTAAAGGGAAAGGCACAACAATAAAGCTTTCAGAAAACAATGTAAGCAAATCTTTTTGATCACTAGATAGAAAACCGCTTCTTACACTAAAAGAAGAACTGGATACAGTTCACTATACTAAACTTCAGAACTTCTAAGCCAGCCCAGGAAAATAGTTTGTGAGACCCTATCTTGAAAAAACCCATCACTCATGTGGTAGCATGCCTGCTTTGCATGTGTGAAGCCCTGAGTTCAAACCCCAGTCCTACCAAAAAAAAGAAAAAACCCATCACAAAAATAGGGCTGGTGGAGTGGCAAGCGAAGGCCCTGAGTTTAAACCCCAGTACTGCCAGAAAGAAAAAATGTTAGCACATCATTGAGTGCAAGAAAGAGCAAGGGCTCACATCTATAATCCCAGCTACTCAGGAGGCAGAGACAGGAAGATGGAAGTTTGAGTGTGGCCTTAGCAAAAAAAGTCAGTGAACCTCAGACTCAAAAACAAGCCAGAGGCTGGCAGAGTGGCTCAAGTGGTAGAGGACCTGCCTTGCAAGTAAGATGCCTTGAGTTCAAACCCCAGTGCCACCATAAAAACAACAACAACAAAAATAATAAGTAAATAAACCAGGTGTGGTGGCACACCTCTGTGGTCCTAACTACTTGGGGTAGATCAAGATCCAATACTGTTCCAGACAAAAGCACAAAACCCTAAAAAAGAAAAAAGCAAGAGGATTGGGGCATGTCTCAAGTGGTAGAGTGCTTGCCTAGTAAGCTGTGAGGCTCTGAGTTCAAGCCTCAGTTCTGCCAAAAAATAAAAGCAAGAAAGATTAAACAAGCAAAGAGGTACAGGCCATTCTCAAAGAGACTGTTCAAATGGGCACAAGCCATAAGGGAAGGTGCTCACTGTCATTGTCAGAAGGAGCTGTAAATTAAATCCTCAAGAGACACCACCACACGCCTGCCAGAATGGCTGCAACTGGAAAAGCCCGAGCACACCAGGTGCTGAGAGGATGTGGGCAGCCGGGACTCTGCACACTCCATGTAGCAAAGGAGGTTGAAACACCAGCTTAGAACAGGTCATGTTTCATAGCAAAGTGGGAGATGCCTGTGTGCTGTGTCCCAGCGTTTACGCTCCTAGGCAGCTCACCAAACTCCTCGTTTGCCTGACTAAGGAATTTCCTGAAATGTGGAATTTTCAGTGCTAAAACTAGGAAACTCCAGAGCAAATCAGTTCAAAGTGGTCCTCCCTCTTCTAAGTCTGTGCCCATAGACTTCAAGCAGTTTTCTACCAGGAGAAAGGAGCAGAAGAACAATGGTGGGCTGGGGACATAGTGTAATGGCAGAGTGCTTGCTAGCATGTTTGAGGCCCTGGGTTCAATGCCCAGCACCCCCAAAAAATGGTAAGAGTGACACAGTGGTAATTAGAAGAAACAACCAAATGTCTCCCAACAGTAGAACAGATAAATTGTACTATATCCACTCGATAGAATACTATGCAGCAATGAAAATGAACAAACTTCAGCCACACATACAAGTAGATGAATCTCACAAACAGCACTGAGCAACAGAGGGTAGCCATAGGGCGGCTGTTATGTTTCTTCTCATGTAAAACTCAGCACCAACAAAACGGGATGCTTGTTTACATGGTGAAGTTATAAGTTAGGCCAATAAAGTGACTACATAAAAGTCAGGAGAGTGCTTGCCCCTTTTCTCAGGGGCGTGTGGTAGTAAAGAGCCCTTGGGAAGCTTCTGGCAGGTGCTGTTCTACTTCTCCACCTAAGGAGGTAACATAAGATGTTTGCTTTGTAATAATTTATCAAGATATACAGCTTCGTGCCCTTTAATGAAAGTATGTTACATTTCCTAATGAGAAAGAGGTTTAATGAGGAGGACCTAGTGTCCTGGCATAGCTGAGCTGCAAGACGACCTTGTGTTGAGTGACAGTGCAACAGACTCAGGTGGAGGACTCATTAACCCAGACTGCTGAGTCCTGCCACAGAGTTTCTGTCCCCATAGGTCTGGGCTGGGCCCTGGGACTCTGCATTTCTACCCAGTTCCCCAGGTGCCTCTCTGATCCTGCTGAGGGACAACAGTTGTCACTAGGGAAGCCCTGGAGGCCTGTGGAGCCTCCCAGCACTTCCCAGGGAGAGTGAACTCTGAGACTAGGGTGTGAACACAGAGGACAAATCACCAGGTGTTCGTGCAGACCTAGGAACCAATGGAAAGGAAATGGAAAGTTCTTGGAGGGGAACGATGGGGAAAATGGTGAATAGAGGAGGGCAATTGGAGAGACCAAGACTGCCAACTGTACATGTCTTCAGAGGCACCTGAAAGTGATGCTCACTGGCAGGTTTGGGCCTTGCAGCACTGGGGAGACCAAGGGAAAGATGTGGCTTGGAGATGTAGGAAGGGGGAGGACAGCTGCTCTTCACCTGGGAGGAAGGGGGAGACCACAGGGGAGGCTAGAACACCTGGGCTCACAGACTGCGGAGTAAGAATGGATTTCTGAGGATGAGGCTCCTGCAGGAAAGGGGAAGCAGGGAGAAACCCGGGCGGGGGGGATCTGCAAAGAGGAGGCCAAATGATCTGACCCAACTCTGGAACCTTTCAACCAAGGCACCACATTTAAAAGCCCCCTGGATGTCATGGCAAAGATGGAAGCCAGCTTTGGGCTGGGCTCGGGGCAGGACCACTTCATCAAGGACTCTCAGTGGGAGCAGCACACAGAGATCTTCTACACCTCCTACAAGAAGTACCTGGACAGGGAGTGGCAGGAGGAGCCACTCAGGTGAGCCCCTGCTCCCTTGAACACCAGAACTGACCCAAGGCCTCAGAAAGTCCCAGATCCCAAAGCTCACTCTCTGATACAGGGCAATTTTTAGAGGACTTCAGCAGATTTTTGAAATATCATATGAATATTGTTCACAATTTGTTGAGTATGGACAAAGGCTGATAATATGGGTTTAAAAGAAAGAATAATATGGCCCAACTCAGTGGTAGAACACTTCCTAGCATGTCCAAGGCAACCAGCACCTGCTAATAATTTTTAAAAGCCCGAGGAAGGCAGCTATGTCTCCTTTCTTAATGGCAATGGTGATAAAAACAGAGCCCAGCCAGGTGCTGTGGCTCACACCTGTAATCCCTGCTACTCAGGATGCAGAGATAAGGAGGATCTCAGTTCAAGGCCAGCCCAGGCAAAAAGCAAGACCCTATCTCAAAAATACCCAACACAAAAAAGGGCTGGCTCAAGTGTTAAAGCACTTGCCTAATAAATGTGAGGCCCTGAGTTCAAACTCAAGTACCACCAATCTCTGAAGTATCCAAGGTGACTGCTTTCAGGAGCCGCTCTCCTCACAGTCACTGTGGATCTCAGGAACATTCTCATCTCCTGTGGGAAGTCAAACCTCTCTTCTTGCTGTCAAGTGGACCTGCAGTTTCCTCACTGCAGGACACAGATTCAAGGCTAAGCCCTGGCAGCCTCTTGCTATTAGGAACTGGAACCCTCACCAGGCTGGGATGCACCTGCAAGGTGTTTAGAGATTTTGGGAGCCAGTTGTTAGACCACTGTTAATTGTCAGTGGTAGGAGTATTGACACTGCAAAACTCTGCAAACCCTACAAATCTGGGCCCTTTTTAAAAAGACCCATTTTATCAGTACACCCCTGGGGTTTGTTGCTTTTGCTGTTGTTTTTGGTTTTTATGGCAGTACTAGGGGTTGAACTCACACTGCTAGGCAGGCGCTTTGCCACTCATCACTCCATAAACCCTTAAAAACTTACCTATTCCTGGGCACCAACTCACACCTGTAATCTTACCTGCTCGGAAGGCAGAGATCAGGAGGATCGCAGCTCGAAGCCAGCCCTGGCAAATCGTGAGACTCCATATCTAAAAGTCCATCACAAAAAGGGCAAATGGAGTGGCTTTAGTGGTAGAGTACCTGCCTAGCAGGCATGAAGCCTTGAGTTCAAACCCCAGTACTGTAAAAAAAAAAGAAAAAAGAAAACGTATCTATTTGGTGACACTGGGATTTGAACTCAGGGCCTCGCACTTATAGGCACTGCTGGCTGTACTGTCCCCAGATTAAGAGAGCATTTAGGTGAGTCAGTCACGGCTGCTCTTTAAGGGCTCTTTCCTGAGGACAGCAGTGGCTCTGCAGTGGGAGGCCTTCTCTGGCAGAAGCTGTGCCTGCACCTTATTGGCCTCTGAGTGTCCCTGCAGCTCCACCCGCGCTGCCCTCAGGCAGCATGGCCCCAGGATCAGCAGCTACAGCATGACTGTCCCTGTGCCCTGTGCCCTGTGACGGCCTCCTGACTGTCACTCTGGTCCTCGTGCCAGGACTGCTGGCATCTCTCCTTGCCAAAAGGCCCTGCATGGCCCTGACTCCTGTGTCCTCCTTTCCCAGTACGGCCACCTTCCATTTCCTCCCTCCGAGCCGCGCGATATCAGCAGAAGTCAGAAGCTCCTCAGGTGAGCTTGCTTATGGCCACTGGTTGTCCTAGGCAGGAGGCACCTCAGGAGCAACCTCAGCAGGCCTCCTGGAGACATGCCACACAGCACGCAAGTCCACAGGGTGGGGGAGTGGACGTGGGAGTCAGGCTGCCAGCCGGAGCCTGACAGCTTCTGCAGATCTGAGGCCCAGAGCCCAGCGCCCATCTCAAGGAGGGACTGCCACAGAGGAGGGTGGGAGCAGGGTGCTTCTGGCCACGCGCTCACCTTATGGCACAGCCAGAGCACATGGGTTTTCTAGAAGATCTAGGGCAGCCAAGGAGTGGTTGCACCCATCCTCCCTGACCAGAAAGGCCAGAGGCCCAGGAGTAGCCCCTCAGGGACATCCAGCACCCCTCATTGAGACACCCACCATTCTGAGGGTGCTGCCCGCCAGAACAAACCACTGCAGACCCCCACAAGCAGCTGCCTCTCGGCCAGATGCCCTCCACGGGAACCTGAGGTCCCCGCTGTCTTACAAAGTGCCCCCTTCTTCTTTCCAGGAGTGGCCTCTGTTCTTGGCATACACTGGACCGGAAGTCACAATTTCTTCCTGTACTCACTGAGCCGAAACCCAAAGGATAAAGTTGGTACTTCAGCAGGAGTTATCCAAGCCCAAGGTTCTGAGAACACGACCCTCTCCAGCTGAGTGAGACCATGTCACACCACATTAGCATCACGTTAGGCAAAAGTGGGGGGGGGGCAAGGTGTCTGTGGTGTGACCTCAGGTGTCTGTCCCTGAGCTGTCATGTTTCTTAAGGATGACAGGTCAGTAGGGACAGCACCCAGAGTTGGTCCTTCTGCTTTGGAAGGTCAGCACTGGGCCATGCCCGCCTCACCTGTTTCCTCAAACGAAACAGAGCTCCCTAACAACACTGTCACTGTCCACTGTGTATTGTGAAAAGCAAAATCTGGAGGGTTTCTGTATGTGAAAGCCCTTTGAACTTGAAATGCACCAAGGAAAGACAGGCAGTGATCACTGCCACAAAACTTCACAGAGGAAGCTACACGCACGAGTCCCCTTGAGCTACTTCAGTATTCTACTTCAAAAGTCATGTTATAATGCACAGAGAAGGAATTTCTTTCCTTCCATCCCTCTCCCAGGTGACCTGGCTTCCAAGCCCCACTTCTTTACTGACTGGCATGTAGCCTTGAGCAAGTTACCTAGCCTCTGCCTAGTCCTCATCCGTAAAGTGGTGTGCTGACAGAACCTACTCCACAGAGCCCCTTTGAGAATGAAGTGAAATGATACCTGGGAAGTTCCGAACACCTAAAAGCGCTGTGACTTCTTATTTCAGGGAAGACAGCCCTGCACAGAGAGGAGACAGGTGGTTCTGGCGCTCAGGCCCCAGGTGGGCATACAGTCTGGGCCTCAGGTTGTCCAGGTGGAGGCAGGCAGGGGCAGGGTGTGTAGGGAGCATAGTGAGTGTGTCCTCCCCTGCAGACCCCGAGAGCGTGTGGCCCTGTGCTGCGCCCATTGCGGTCTCCCAGCTCGGTGTCTCCTCTTCCTACCTGGTGCTGGCCTGTGAGGACGGCGTGCTGATGTTGTGGGACCTAGCGGAAGGTGAGCCACCTGCGCACCTTCTTCAGAGTGAGCACCTCGTGGGTCTCTGAACGCCTAGAGTAGGAGCTCTGGTGTCCTGGGACTCTGGCCTTCTGTTACCTCTGTGTTCATAGTCACCTGAGGCAGCTGGCCCTTTTTTCCACTCCTTCATTCATTCAACAAACACTGAACACAATCTGTGTAATGCTTCTTATGTCCTATGGCTGGTACCACACCAGGTCCTGGGAGTGTAACCATGGCTTTCCGTATTACACTCCAGTGAGGAAGTATCCAGCAGAGTTCCAACATCCTCTGCATCTGCCCTCCTCCTCCCAAGCTCAGGTCCTCAAAACAGACGGGTTTCTGCCCTGCTGTGCCACCTCCACACAAAAGGAGCCCTGATGGTATTGGAGCAGCAGCTGCTCTGGTCCAGCTCTGCAGGTGACCTGGCCAGGACAGCCTCAAGGGGAGGGGCGCCCTAACCAAAACTAAAAAGGGACTGAGTAAGTGGTTGACCATGCACAGCTCGTGTCCATTGTTCCAGCCACTGATAAACTCTTGTCTGGCCACACCCAGCCCTCCTTTCCTGAGTCCACTCCCCCTAGACACCTTCATACCCGGTACTCTGCTGGAGGGCAGCCCTAACTGGGTTACGGCCTCCCTCCCTTCCTGCCCTGACTCTTCACTCCACCATGGACTGGGCTGTCCCTTCCCCAGCTCCTCTGCAGACATGGGGGGCTCCCTGAGGGCTGTTCTTTCCCACAGGCCCTGGGTTTACAGGTTTCCTTGCAGAGGGCACTCATTGCTTGACTTTGCCCTCACACCAGCTGGTCACAGAACCAGCGTCCATGGCTGTCTTCCCCCTTTCTGATCAACCATGTGATTTCTTTCTCCAGGATTCCCCCTGGGGGTTATTGCTCTTCCTGAGGGATGCTCCTGTCAAAGCATTCACCTCTTAAGATTCTTCTTGGTCCACAATAACCAGAACATGTATCCTGAGGTGCCAGTGAAATCCCAGGTGAAATGTGTGGTGCTGGGGACCGACGCTTCCCTGTACCTGGTGACAGCCAGCGGGACCCAAAGCCCTACCCTCAGTGTGCTTGTGGAGAGGTCAGTGGCTGGGGTGTGGAACAGGGCTAATGACCATGGCAAAGCCTGCTGGGAAATCCACCTTCCCTGTCATCATCTCTCCTGGTGAGCAGCTCCCTAGCGTCATGTGTGACCCAGCTGCCTAACAAAATCCTAAGGCATAAATGACAACTTTCCTGTGCCATGTGACCAAGTAGAGGCTCGCTTCTGCCCAGGGGTCTCATGCTTTTTTAATATTAAAGATATTTTATGCATGCAAATGAATCAAGAGAGAGAGAGAGAGAGAGATACAAAAAACAATAAGAACAATGGGCTAGACTCCTCTGTGCACTGGACATCATCAGTACCTCTAGTTCCGCTGAGGTCCCTGTGTGCCTCTCCCTGATGACGTCCTCCTGGCTTCTTCCCAAAGGTCATCAATTACCTGTTGCCTCATACCAAACCACCCCCAAAACTTAATGGCTAAAGAAAGCAGTCCTTGTTAGCCCCTGACTCCACAGTCTCCAATGTAAGCTGGACTCAGGTGATGACTCAGCATACCCATGCTTGCAGACAGCTGGCGGCTCAGCCAGGGCTGGGGTCCAGAAGGGCCTCACTCCCTCACCTGGCAGTTAGCAGGCTGTTGGCAAGGCACCTGGGCTGTCTTCTTGGTGGCCTCTCCTGCAGACTAAGGTGCCAGCAGCAAGGGACAGCCCCACAGCACGAATGCCTCTCAACCTTGATTGTGCTACTCCTGCTGATGTCAAAGCACAACCCTTGGGCATCCCCACCTTCAAGCAGAGCAAACACAGACTTCACCTTGTTCTGTTCTTGTCTTTTTGAGACAGGGTCTCACTGTGTAGCTCCGGCTGGCCTCACACTCAAAATCTTCCTGCCTCAACCCCCCAAGTGCTGGGATTGTTGGCAGGCACTACCTCGCCTGGCTTAGATGCCACCTTTTTTGTTTTGTTTTTATGTTTTGGCAGTACTAGCACTTGAACTCAGGACCTCACACTTGCTAGGCGGGTGCTCTACCACTCGAGCCCTCCCCAGCCCTAGTCTCCACCTTTTGATGGCAGTCACAGCCAAGTATTACGGCTAATTGTTCTCTAAACGATATGTCACTTAGCCGTACATATTAGGAGCGATACACTTTATATTCCTCAATTTGCTTTTCAGTGATACTTATTCTAGCTTGCTTTGCGACATTGCTCATAAGAATTATAAAAGTTGGGCTGGGTGCCTGTGGCTCACAACCGTAACCCTGACTACTCAAGAGGCAGAGATCAGGAGGATCAAAGTTCAAAACCAGCCCTGGGCAAATAGTTCTCAAGCTCCTATCTCAAAAATACCTATCTTCAAAAACAGGGCTGGTGGAGTGGCTCAAGTGGTAGGAATACCTGCCTTGTAAGTGTGAAGCCCTGAGTTCAAACTCCAGGGCCACCAAAAAAACCAATTATATATATTGGTGCTTGTAGCTCCAGTGTTACGTTCCTTGCTGCATTATATCTCACTGTGTTATTTAAGCACCTTCCTGAAAATGGATATTTGGACAGATGCTCAGGAGAGGATAGTGAAAATCTGAAACTCTTCAAATAGCAGAATGTCTGTGTGGCTTATGTCCTGCAGTCCTGTGAAGTACCCAGAAGAAGCCATCTGTGCCGTGGCCCCAGTCCCAGCCTTGCCTGGCATGGTGAGTTCCCTGTGCCTCTCATGACTCTTCTGTTGACAGCCTACTCTGTGCTAGGCACATGATTAGCCTTTGCTATGCAGATATAAAAGTCTGGGGCTAGGGGTGTCGCTTGGTGGTGGCCCTGGTTCAATCCCCAGCATCAAATCGATAAGCAATAAATATAGTAAAAGAGAAAGTCCCTGACTTTGTGGAGCTCACAGTTCATCCAGAAAGACAGACAGGTCAACAAGCAGCTGTTCTGGATCACAAGGAGGGCTGTGATATGATTTTGCAATGGATGCGTGGAACAAAGAGATCACTTGACTTTACCTGCAGAAGTTGGCACAGGAAGGGGGTATGACAGAGGGCAGCTGCAGTGTCAGATCCTCTGTGTGAAGAGGAAGGAGGCTGGGCTAGGGCATGGTGGGGGCAGAGGGACCAGCTCTGGAAGGCCATGGATGCCAGACGGAAGGTTAAGGCATGCCCTCCTGTGGGATGGGGCTTGAGCACATGGGGGTAGGACAGTTAGGAAAAGGACCCCAGTTGCTATGGCTGTAGTCAGAGGTGAGGGAGGCAGCTAGGCCAATCCTGACTTGCAGAGCTGGTTCCCTAATCCTTCCAGGGCCTGCTGATGGAACCCAGGCCCGGGAGAAAGTCTGTGACTCCCATTGTGGCCCTGGAAGGGCAGGGGTTTCCAGGACTTCCAGGGGAGGCCCAGGGCTAAAAATGTCCACTGAGTGCTCACCAACCAGAGAGCAAGAATGGTGGGTGGAACCGAGTCACAGAGGAGACAAGGAGGGAGAATGGAGTTCCCTATGGGTACTGCTGTCTCTTATGGGACAAGGAAGAGCTCAAAGGATGACCCAGGAGAAGCAAGAGCACTCCACAGCTCAGAAGGAGAGTTTGAAGGGTGGTGCTCCCTGCTAAAGAGAACCAAGCACCTCCTTGAGACAACAGGCGTCTGAGGCAGGACAGATGGTTCAAGGTGGGGTAGAGAGGATGATAGAGACCCACTGGGGGGAGCTGTGGCAGTGAGAGAGGATCAAGGAGGGCTTTGGAAGGTCTGGGCAGGGGGGAAGCAGGCGGGAGGGGCCCATCCCAGACCTCAGCCAGGAGGACCCCAAAGGAGGAAGAAAGGGCAATGGAAGCCCAGGTGAGGAACTGGAGCCATGAGGAGGGTGTGCAGCAGGGAGGAGGCTGGGGGAACAAGAAGAAGCCAAAGGGGCAAAGGGGTGAGCCTCATATCAGACGGATCCCGGGTCAGACAGAGCCCAGGTCAGAGCCTGGATCAGATAGAGCCTGAGTCAGACAGAGCCTGGGTCAGACAGAGCCTGGGTCAGACAGAGCCCAGGTCAGAGCCTGAGTCAGACAGAGCCTGGGTCAGACAAAACTCAGGTCAGACAGTGGCCCCATCAGGCAGCAGACAGTGCCCCATCAATGCGTGAAGGCAGTGTGGGCCAAGGGAGGCAGCACCCAATGGAGCAGAGGTTGGTGCCCACAGGACAGAGAGATTCTCCAGCTGCTTTGCTCACCCAGCACAGGGGCAGCCTCTGCACCTGCCTTCCTGTAGGGCTGAGTCTGGAGGAGTCCCCACATACCCTCTCTTGCTTCCCAGGTACTGATCTTTGCCAAGAACGGCTCTGTGAACCTCATGGACGTGGCCAAGGCTAAAGTTGTCTGTGGCTTTGCTCCCCCCAGATGTCAGGAGCTGGCAGACCCCTGTAATCCACTGTTTGTTGTGTCCTCACACCATCCGTGTTTCCTGCTCCAAGGTTTGGAAGGGCTGCTGCCAGCTCTAGAGCATGCTGCCCCTCCCTGACTCCCCAGCCCCATGAAGCAGAGTGACCCACTCAAGCTCCCTGTCCCCAGCATCTCCTCCGCCACAGGACAAAGGGTGCTGCAGCCCAGTCTTCCAAGGTCCTCCAATACAGTGCTGGCAAGGCTGGGTGTGGTGGCTCATGCCTGTAATCCCCACTGTTCAGGAGGTGAGATCAGGAGGATGGCGGTTCAAAGCCAGCCCTGGTCAAATAGTTCTTTGCGAGACCCTATCTTGAAAAAACCCAATACCAAAAAGGGCTAGCAGAGAGGCTCAAGTGGTAAAAGTGCCTGCCTAGCAAGTGTGAGGCCCTGAGTTCAAACCCCAGTGCCACCAAAAAAAAAAAAAAACCCAAGGTGCTGATAAGGTTTTCTGTGGAGAAGGCAGTCACAGAGCCTGGTGTTCTTATGTCATACTCATACCTGTGTTCTTATTTCACACAGGAGCCCATCCACATGGTGAAACCACACCCGCTAATAATACTGAAGATATCCAAAACTCTATTTTTTATTTTGACTTTGAGGCCTACCCACTCCTGGAAAATATCTCCAAAAATCACACCATTCCACAAAAGGACTTGACAAAAAACAAGGACTTCCCCCTGGTGTTGCCGCTGGAGAAAAGATGTGAGCACCTCCTCCAGAGCACGTAAGGACTGCAGTGCCTGCCCTCCTGGTGTTGGCGCTGTCCCAGGGTTGAGAGGTGGGGTCTGCAAAGTCTGGGGTGAGAGCCTTTTGGCACTTAACTCCCCTAACTGAGGGATAGCGCCACACGAGCCACCTCCAGTTCCCATTTGGACCGGTAGGAAGAAAGGCTTCAGTCTAACGCTGTGTTCCTGTTGTGACCACCTTTTCCCTTTAATTTTCTCTTTCCATTTTTACAAAGCACATTTGCGTCACTAGACGTCATTGCAACACGGTTTGGATTAGGTTTATGGAGTGTGGACCATGTCTGGCCCACTGCCCAGTTTTGAAAAGAACGGTTTGGTTGGTTGGTTGGTGCTGGGGCTTGAACCCAGGACCTTGCACATGCTAGGCGAGCACTCAACAACTAAGCTGCATGCACACCTCCTTTGACGGATTTTTATTTTTTAATTGTGGGGCACTGCTGAGGTTTGAACTCGGGGCCTCATGCATGCTATGCAGGGGCTCCACCGCTTGAGCCATGGCCCAGTCCCTGGACATTTTGGGCAGGTCTGATTTCTAAGGTTTGCAGGTATGAGGTCGGGTGACACATATGAGGTCCAGCATTTGTGGATCCTCAGTAAAAGAAACCAAAATGCCTGGAAAAATACTAAATGTGACCAGTGGGTGGCAGCACAGCCCCTCTGCGCTCTCTCATGCCTGCTTTGCCTGCCATTTTTTCTTTCTTGTGCTGCTGGGAATAGAACTCAGGCCAGCCTCTGACCTGCTACACTGATGTCTTCCTGTGCTGTGCTGGTGGCTCGGGTGGCTCTCGGTATCCCATGGGGCCAAGCGTGCCCATGCACCTGGAAAGAAATAGTGTCTCGTGTCTGGGGATGAAGAGGTGTGGTTGGCTTTGCCTTTGACTAAAGGCTTACCAGCACTCAGGTGTTCCTGACACGGAGGTTTCTTATTCTGACCCCAATATCATGTTGGTCAGGTGCAGTCAAAGAATTTAGGGGAATGTTTCTTGGTGTCAATAAGGAACTGCTGAACAAAGACCATGCCACGTGTAGAAAAGAAAGATTTATTGAAGCACAGACTGCGGGGCTGACCCTCGGGTTCAGGCTGCAGCAGCTTGGCTGGAATGGGGAGTGGGCTGTATAGGAGGGACCACACCGTGAGGGAGGGAGGGTGTTCCTTCCAGAGAACAGCCGGGCTGCTGGCCCCCATTTATCTGTGATCACCAGGTGGAATGGGTCGTCATGCATAGCTAGTTGAGAAATGGGAAGTTCCTGCAGTTTTGCAAGCAGGGAAACAAGCAGGGGAGTTTTGCAAGCCGTCACAAATCAGGGGGGTCTGGTTTCATTGCTAGCCTCGGGACCCTCCGCCTGCCCCAAGAATGCCAGAGACCTAACAGTGTCTACGGTCATTGTCACATGGTTCGGGAAAATATTTACAGAGAGATGTGGTGAAAAGGTAAAAGTGCTAACAGACGACGAAATCTGAGAAAATACTTGTGCAGAGAGACAAAACGCTAACAGCTGGTGAGTCTAGGTGAAGGCTCATCAGATTACTTGTGCCTCTTTACAGGTTTGACGTTTTCAAAATAAAAAGATAGGGAGTGATTATAAACATCATTTAGACATAATCTGGTTCTGAATCAGGGCAGATGGAGTTGTGTACAGCAGTAGCTCGGGTGATTCACGGCTCTTCTACAAAAAATGTATCGTTTGGGCAAATTGATTAAAAATAGTGGTGAGTCAGGTGCTGGTGGCTCTCACCTATAATCTGAGCTACTCAGGAGGCACAGATCAGGAGGATGGAGGTTCACAGCCAGCCCAGGCACGTAGTTCCTGAGAGCCTATCTTGAAAATACTCAATACAAAAAAGGACTGTTGGAGTGGCTCAAGTGGTAGATCGCAAGCATGAGGCCCTGAGTTCAAGCCCCAGTGCCACCAAAAAAAAAAAAAAATAGTGAAAGATAAGACAAGAGCATAAGGTGAGGCCTGGCCCATGGGAGGGGCTCTCCCGGGGCAGGGGGCAGGGCCTGGAGCTTTCTGGTGCCCTCACTGGGGGCTCTGAGGACCCTAGGCCAGCAGGCTGCCCTTTGTGTGGGAGTACTGAGGGCAGCAGATCAGCTCTGGGTGGCTCACCTCCCACCTGGCTGACTGTTCTCACCCTCAACCAAGGCAACCTAGTCTCAGAGACCTGCTGACCCTACTTCAGCCCACCGAAGCTGCTTCAAGTGTAGAACTGCTCCCTCAGCTAACAAAGTCATTTCCCAGGGTAAAAAAGATGTATTCAGAAGCTGCACTCATATATATATGCACACACACACGCATATATGCTCCTATATGTGTATTCATTATTTCTGATATAGAAATTGGGAAAACAGGAAAATACCAAAAGAAGAGGAAATTTAAATAACTCGTAATCACAAATCACCGACACCACCACTAGCTTCTTTCACCTTGGGGTTTTCACCAAGGTGAAATCATCTTCCGTGTTCACATCTTCATCTGACTTTATGTCATTCCCAAATATAACTTAACTTTGAACTCAGGGCTCATGCTTGCTAGGCAAGTGCTCTACCACTTAAGCCACTCCACCAGCCCTACTTAATGGTTTTTGATTTTTTTTCTAATTTTTATTTTATTCATATGTGCATACAATGTTTGGGTCATTTTCATTTTGATTTTGAGAAAAACTTTTTTATTGCTAGTAAGTCTCCTGTCACTCTAACAAAATACCTGGGATAATTAATATATTCAGATAGAAAAGGTTTGCTTGGGCCTCAGTTGGGAGGCTTCAGCCCACGTTCAAGGCCCCACTGCCTTGGGTGTAACAGCTCCTCATGGCAGGGAGTGTAGTGCAGAGCAGGCCGCTCTCCATGACCCAGAAGCAAAATGATACCAGGAAGGGGCTGAGGTCCCACACTCTCCTTTGAGGACACACCCCCATGACCTACCCTCCCACTGGGCTCCATCTCTTAAAGTTTCCATGCTGGGAACCAAGCTTTTAATACGTCCCCCTTCAGGGGACATTGGACACCCACACTATAGCATTTGTAAGTATGGTTTTTCATGACTGTGTAATAGTCTGTGGGAAGGATGTCTACAAGTGACTTTACCCCTCTGTGACTGGACTGCTAGGATAAGGAGAAGCCCATTGTTTCTGTCCTGCCTTCCCCTTCTCTGGAACATGGAGGCCCATCCTAGCCCCCGTACAGTCAGTAGACTTCTGTCCCTGGCCAAGGTGCCAGCCCCTTCCCTCCTGGGAGGGCCCAGTTGGCTGGGGTACAGAGGACTGCCTTCTGAGGGACCTTCTGCAGAAAAGAGGCTGGCATCAGCAGAGCTGACCAGCAGGGGCTGGGGCAGGGCTTGGGGCTGAACAGTGGTGCCACTTTTGGGAGATGGAAAGGCTAGGGGGCACTGGAGAGGGCACAGTGTCCAGCTGGCCAGGGGCAGGTGCACTTCCTGGTGCCCTGGGGATCAGTTTGAGGGCACGCCTATCTGGTCCTGCGCAGTGTTTGAGTCACATGCCTTGGGGCAACACAGTTTCTGATCTGGGACCCAGAGGTAAATTGAGAAATGCTTGGTTTAAAGAGGGCTTTTCCTGTTCCTCTTGCTCTGAGGCTGGATGTCTGGGACTTCCCAAAGGGCACCCCAGCATTTCAGTGTGTAGGGTCAAAAACACAACGGCTCTGAGAGGACGCTTCAGTGCACGCGTGTCGTGTGCCCACAACCCTGGTGCTGTCCTTCACAGTGGACTCTCCTCACTTTATGACACATGCCCCTCACAGGTCCCAGTTTATTTGTTTATTGGTTTCTATTTATTTCTGCATCTGAAATAGTTTCTATTGGCTGTAAAATGAGGTGAAGCTGTCAGGGTTTATGCAGCAGTAGATTCAGAGGTTCAAACTTGCAAGAGGCGGTCCCATCCATTTCCACAGTCCCACACTAGACTTCTGAAACCGCCCATGTGAAGCAGCAGCTGCCTTTAGGGCTGAGAGGAGGCCTCTGTGGGCCTCTGCTCCCCAGCCTAGGCCCTCAGGGTGCCATATGGCTGGGTCAAACTTCTGATGAATATTGCAGACACCAGGGAACAGACAGAGCAAAGAGAAGCCACAAAAGCCAGACTTTCTGGCTCCCACCAGCTTTCTGACAGTGGGTGGCTTCATGACGGCCTCAGACCCTGCTCCGCTCAGCACACAGCTCCTTTGGTGAGGGGAGGCTAGCCCTGTGTGACGTCGGGGCACATGTTCACTATGGTGGGAGGAGAAGGGTGAGGAATGGCATTGTTTATTGCTGTCCCCAGCTCGGGACTGTGGCCATCGTAACACACTTGCCTTTCTTGAGAAACAGAGGATGAGCTCCTCCCAAAGTTGATTTGGCGGCTTTGTGTGGGACTTGCTGAGGCCCGTCCACTCTTGGATGGGCAGCTAGTCACTTTTCATCACTGTGACAAAGTGCCTTTGCACATCTACTTAGCGGAGGAAGGTTTACTTTGGCTCACCATTTCCAAGGTTTCAGCTCATGGCTGGCTCCACTGTGAGGACTTGTGCTGCGACAGGGCGTCACCATGGCAGGGAGCGGGTGACAGAGGACACTTCTCACCTTGTAGCAATCAGAAAGCAGAAACTCAGACAGGGAGGGCTGGGGACAAGATATACCTTTCAAGGCCTATTCCCAGAAACCTACTTCCCCCAGCCAAGCCCCGCCCCCAGTGGCCAATTCAGCCCCCAATTCCTCGGTGGTCTGCCATTGATGAAGGGTCCTACTCGTGTGCCAGCCACCAGCTGGGGACCAGGACTTCAACACATGAGCCTTCTAGGAGACTCTTCATATCCAACACACGTGTGCCCACACCTTGTCAGTGTGTTTCCCACACAGAAGACACTGCAGTGTCCTCTGCCACCGTGGGAAAGAGAACAGGTGCACTTTGGTGGAGACAAGGGGCTGTCATGCTCCCTAGGGGGTTCACATAAACCCGCTTGCTAGTTGACACCCAACCTCAGGTGGCCCAGGCCCCCTCTCTCTCCTTCCTCACTGCCAAATAGCCAAAGGGAGTCATGCTGCAGATGGCTAGTGCCACCACCTCCACCCCAGCCCTAGTCCCTCAGCTGCCCTCTCTTCTGGGCCACCTTGGTCACCTCCACCCCTGCACTCTGCCTGTCTCAGGACACAGGTGCCTTGCTCGTGCCTGAGGCTAATGCCTGCTCCTACACTGGGGCACCAGACTGTCCCCTTCCCCAAAACAGCAAGATCCTACTTCCTCTACCATCTTCTCTTCCTTGTGGGTGACAGCCTCCTCCTCTCCTTAGCTTGTCCTAATCATAGGCTAATGTCACCATGTTCCCCTGTTGACAAACAAGTGTCCTTCTAGCTCTAGAGCCAGAATCTGGGCTGGATCCAGAAAAATGCAGCACACAGCATCCTCACAGCCTTATCTGTGAGGTCCCCTAAAATCCAGCAGGGCTGGTATTTGGAGATAGACTTTCAGGTTTTGGCCCATCTGAGCGGTGATGGTTCCCCCACTCGCCCTCCCGTTCCCTGGGAAAAGATGCTAAGTCTCACCCTTCACACAACAGGCTATGGAGGCAGGACAAAAATCAATAGCTCATATTTTACCTTGGAAACCAGGTTTAAAAATTAGTCGGTTAGTTATGTGTACACTGTTGTGTGCTCAGCGCTCTTCTGTGACTTGCCCTGGATCTTCTTTGTATGCTTGTGCGCCTTTTCTTTCGGTGTGAAGCTCTTTGTCAGTACGTTGTGTGTAATTTTTCCTGGCTTGTCTCTGGATTGAAGTCACTGTGATTGTTTGTTCAGCCAAACAGAAGTTCCAAGTGTCACATCGCTGGACTTGTCCATCTGCTTTACAGCTGGCTGAGGGCCCGGTAAAGAGTGTCAAAATCAGGGCGCAGGTTCTGCAATGCCCCCCGGTGCAGGTAGAGAGGGAGAGGGAGGGCAAGGTGTGCACCCTGGCTCTCTCGTGGTGGCCATAGTCCTAGTCCTCACAGGACATTACAGGGCACTTGGTAGAGGCTGCCTCCTGGTCACGGCTGGGTCCACGGAGGAAGCACGTGCTTTAGACGTCACTGTGTTTTCTGAGCACAGTAAGGATTTTGGTTTAGGTTTTTTAAAACTTATTCTACTTTATGGCTGCCTCCTGTTCCGTCCCTCACTGACACCTGTGCCCTGACCCCTCCTTCCAGCAAGGTCACTTCCACAGTGCACCTATTACCGCAATTAGCCGTAATTGAGCACTTACTGTCTGCAGGTACCATGGGAGAGCTTTGCAGGCAAAATCTTTCTTCTCCTCCTCCCCACCCCCCGCCCCCGCTGTAGAGGGAGTGAGAAAACTCTTCACAGCCACTGCCTAAGGTCGCCAGCTTTGGAAGGTCCTAAACTGAAAAAAGGAACGAGCCAGACCTGTGAGTGCTGCCAGACACCACTGCTGGGATAGACTTTTTCAGTTGTTTTGGTTTTTTGAGTCAGAGTCTCACTGTGTAACCCAGGCTAGCTACAACCTGTGACCCTCCTGCCTCCATCTACCCAGTGCTGGGATTACAGATGTGTACAACCATGCCCACCTGAAGTAGATTCTCGATGGAAAAAAGAGTCATTGTGCATTACTGTATGTCACACACCTCCATTCTAAAAAGATGTGAGCATGAAAAGATGCTAAAGGACATGCAAGAAGCTGTTGATCGCAGAAAATAAGGGTCTGAAGTAAGCGGGAGTTTTACTGTTTTTTTGAGGTGGGATTTCTCTCTGCAGCCCAGGCTGGCCTCCAACACAAAATCCTCCTTCCTCAGCCCCTAGTGCTGGGATTACAGGTGTGCTCCACCGTGCCCAACTGGGGCTTTACTTTTGGTTGTATGCCCACTCATGCTTTTTCACTTTCATAAAAAGAAGCGATGTATAGGGCTGGTGGAGTGGCTTGAGTGGTAGAGCGCCTGCCTAGCAAGCATGAGGCCCTGAGTTCAAACCCAGTACACAAAAAAAAAAAAAAAAAAGCAATGTATAGACTATTTTTTAAGTTAGAATTTTCTGGGCTGTGGGTGTGGCTTAGGTGGTAGAAGTACTTTAGTAGGAAGAACTAGGCCCTGAGTTCAGTCCCCAGTACCACAAAAAAAAAGTCTTGTCTCTACATAGCTGTACCACATGAAGCCTCAAGGCAAATCCAAATCATTGTCTTTCTCCTCAAAAGTGTTGCTCTGGCACCCAGGGCAGAAACCTGGGGGCAGCCTGCACCCCACCCCAGCCCACTGCCAGCCCCTCCACCTGTGGACAGTGCCCACTGTGTACGATGAGGGGCAATATCAGATTACTGTGTGCTGAATGTGCCTTTTCTCTTTTTTCATTCATTTTGAGCATATTGATGTTTTCCTAAAACTTGTTTTGTTAAAGACCAAATATGAGCATCTTCAGATAAGTGAATCACAGTGTTTGTGACTGGCTTTGTGAGTAGCTCACTCAGCGCAGCGTCCTCAGGGTTCATTCCCGTGGTAGCACATGTGGCATTTCCTTCCTTTACAGGGCTGAATAATATTCCACTCATGGGTAGAGCCCATTTTGTTTGCAAATGGGCTTTTCAGTCCTCAGTTCCTACCCCACTCTCAGTGTGTACCCCCCATCAGAGCGCTAAGCCTGTCCCTCCTGGTAGGAGCTCTCCCCGGATGTCTGATGCAGACGCAGAGGTGAAGTGGGGTGTCATCCTCCAGTTCCTCCGTGAGCACAGGGGTCCTGTTCTGTCCTGGGAGCCAGGGAGCCGGGAGGTGGGTGAGGCGCCTCTCACCTCTGGTCGTGTGGCCCGCAGCTTCCAGAGGCTGAAGTACCAGGAGGAAGGGCACGAGCCATGGGGCCGGCTTCGGAGGTACTCCCTGATTCTCCAGAAAGAGAACTGAAGGAAGTGATGACCACCAGCAGCCTCGGCAGCCACTCTCCAGGCACCCTGAGGTGACAGGACACAGTGTCACAGAGCCACACCCTGGGGCCCTGGACTTGCAGCCTGCTTCCTCCACAGAGCCAGCCAGGGGAAAGAGGACCCGAGGGTCAGTACCCTCGGGTGCCAGGTTTGTCGCCCAATAAACAGCAGTGTTGTCCCCACTGCAGGTTGCTGTGGTGTGTGGTCCTTTGTTTCCACCAGCCCAGACCCCAGCAGGGCCCACTCACCGCACAGTTCCCAAAAGGAGCAGGACCCCCAGCTTGCCACTGCCCGGTGGTCCCCTTTCTCTCCACCAGCTACTTCTCCATCGCTTGGGGACCCTGACCCTTACAGAGGCGCCTGGAGGGCTGGGGTACAGGTCAGTGGTAGCAGGCAGGAGGCCCTGGGCCCCCATGCCCAGCACGGAGGAAGGGAGGGCGGGAAGGGGAGGAGAAGCTGGACCACTGTGGGAAGCTGGGTGTCCTGGAGACCTGAGAGAGGGACAGAGAGGCACCTGGCTGTTCTCTAGAAGCTGTGCCTCCTGCGTAGAGTGGTCCCCAGCAGCTCTCTGAGGGCCCATGACAAGTGGATGAGGCCTGTAGGGCGTCCCAGGACCAGTCGCACACAGGGTTTCTGACTGCTCCTTCCCGTGCCCCCGTCCCCCTCTGTTCCTGGACCCCATGCTATGGCACTCGCTCACACCAACACTGAGTGGCTGGAGGTCCCAGGGAGGACACTCTGCCCTCCAGATATGAGAGCGGACAGCACCCATTGCACCTCCAGCTCCCCCACCTCCCACACCTCCCTTCTGGCCGTGTGGTCAGGAGCTGTATTTTACGCTACCCGTGCGTGCACACGCACACCCACACACTTGCCTGCCAGGGTCTGTGGACCACCAGCCTCCTTGTTGTCCCCACCCCAGTAGCCACAAATGAGCTCTCGGGAACAGCCCTCGACCTCTCTACTTCTACTTCCCCATCTGTGCTGACTGGAAACCTGCCCTAAGCACACAGCCTAGGGGACAGATGCTCGTAACTGAAGGAGGCCACTGCCGATGGCAGGGAGCAGGACCATTGCCTGTGTCATCATTTGCACCTCCACCGTCCAGCAGGCTTAAGCCCAGACTGCTCCAGCCCCAGGCAGCCCAGTACCTGTGGTTTTGAGCTGGTAGGAGAGGCCTGAGCAGTAAGCACACAGGCTTGCAGTCCACACCTGGGTCCCAGTCCCAACACTGTCACATGGCATCCGTGGGGTCCTTCGGCCTCTTGTTTACTTATAACTTTTCCATCCTTAAAAGGGGCCCCTAACTGGGGTTCCCAGGTTGGCTGGGAACCAGGGTGAGAGAGGCTCCCCTACTTCCTGCTGGCCTGGCGGAGGGCTACTGTCTTCCTCACTGTGGACAGCACACAGAGTTTACTCCAGGTGTGAAGGGGGCGGCCAGGAAGGGGTGATGGGGACCTGGGAGCAGTGGGAGGAGACCTCTTCCTATCTCCAGTCCTCTGTCTCGGCTGCTATTAGCAGGGACGTGTTAATGAAAATTCACACCCAGGCACTAATAAACAGTGGGCTGCTCCCAGCTCCGAGCAGAAGGAGAGGCCCTCGCAGGGAAGGGGGCGGCAATGAGCCCCACTTAGCTGTGAAAAGACTTGCTAACAACCGTAATCCAGGCCTAAACCGCTGAGCCTTTGCCATGCAAACAGATTTCTTCCCTAGTCAGTGTTCTGGGGTGGGGGGGACAAGCGTCAGATGGGGGCAGTAGAGGTGCCCGGAAAGGGAGTGCCCAGCCGAGGGCGTGAGCTTCCTTCCCCCTTTGGATCCTTTCTGCAGCCAAATGCCAGCCAAGATGGACTCTGCTTAGGCCTGGAGCCCTGAACTGCAGAGCAGGGACCCTGACCCTGACTACACGACTGCCTACCCTGGCCTGAGCTGAAATGGCCCCTGGGTGGAATTAAATACAAACCCAAGAAGCGTGATGAGTTAAGAGTACTGGGAACGGAAAGGGAAAGGAGTGAAGTTCTACCTGAGACAACATGGTGACCTTTCAGACATGCTGACCCCATGTTGTATGATTCCTCTGAAATGTGCAGAGCAGGCAAATTCCACTCCCAGTGGATGTGCCGGCAGGGGGCGAGGAGGGAATGGGATTGAGGCTAGTTAATAGGTAGAGCTTCTTTGGGGGGTGGTGGAAATGCTGGCAAATTAGTGGTGATGGTGGCTGACTCTGCCCAAACCAGTGAATTGTGCCCTTCAAAGGGATGACTTTTGCAGTGTGTGAATTATAGCTCAAGGTGCTTATAAAAACCAACACCCAACACCCAAGGCCTGTGTTCCAGACACTTGAGGGAGAGGAGGAGTAAGCCCTTGGCAGAGGCTGCAATGCCACGAGTCACCCCCAAGCTTGAGTGCTGCCTGATCTGAGTCTCACCTGTGCAGACAGGAGTGGGGCAGCTCCTCTGGCACAGATCAGTAACCAAGGGGCCCCAGCTAGACAGCCCAGAATCATGGCTAACAAACTCAGACTAGCCCACTGATGCGTTTGTGGTCCCCAAGCCACGTGGGAGGGAGACCTGGAGACCAGAGATGGGCAAACCCCAAGAACACCAGGTCTGAGGCCAGGAAGCTCCAGATCAAGGGGCGTCAGGCCTGGGACAATGACTCCTTGGGCTGCTGCCCTCTCAGTTCCCACATGAATGGAGCTGGCAAAACCCTAGCAGGGCTGAGAACTCCAACTCCCAAGTCCTATTTGGGTTTCAGTGCTGATCGTTATTCTGTAACACGGTCATCCCAGCATAGTAAGTGCACGGTACATAATGGAGCTGTGAGCCAGGCGTGGTAAGGTGCGCCTGTAATCCCAGCATCACCTGGGAGGCTGAGGCAGGAGAACTGGGAGTTTGAGGACAGCCTGTGCTACATAGCCAAATTCTGTCTCAAAAATAGCATTTAAAAAGGGGAGCTGCATTTTCTACAATAAAACCAAACATTGTGGTTTTATCTGGTTTTCTGCCAGGTTCAAAGGATTCCTGCTGCCACCTTCCCGCAGAACCGCCCCCCCACCCCCATCTTCCCAGGCTGACCCATGCAGGACAGATGTGGAGGCAGGGAGGGGCACACAGGGCTGGCCTGTGTGTTTGGGGGCTGAAGATGACAAGAGCCCCTCTTGACACTCCATGTTTGGCAGGGAGGTTGGGAGCCGTGTGTACAGGCAGAGGGACACCAGCTCAAATAGTTTATTCACAAATAAATAAATACACAGCAGGTAGAGCCTCCCGCAGGCTGCAAAGCCCTGCCCCCAGGTCCCTCCTTCCACAGCAGTGGCAGCGGTGGGGCTGGGGAGGCCTTCCTGGACGAGGCCATGCCATCAGAATAGCTGGTGGTCCTTCCAGGGCAGGGAATCCGCCTCCAAGGTGCTGAGGCCAGCAGTCTCGGTGCTCACACAGGGCGCCAGTCGTCCGCTGTCACTGACTCCTCAGGCCGGCGGCCACTCCTGGGGCGAGAGGGGCATCCAGTTCTCCAGCAGGGCCAGCATTTCGCAGGGAAAGGGCTGCGGGGAGGAGCAAACGGCACAGCGCTCAGCGCCCGCGAGTGCACGGGCGGCCGCGGCGCACGACCCGCGTCCCCAGGCTCCACGTTCGGGGACCTCGACCCCCGCGTGGCCTCTCCCTCCCCTCGTTGCTTGCGCGCCCAGGGCTCGCGGGGCTGCTCCCACGAGCGGACAGGTGAGGCCAGGCTGCCATCGAGCGCGGGCAGGGTGGCTGGTCACCGGGTGGGGCTGTGCGCCCGCGGCGTTCCCCGCGGGGAGGAAGCTACTAACCGGCGACGAGGGGCTCGGCTCCGCTGGACACTCGGCATTAAGCACGGGCAGATCGCAAGGCTCGGGCGCGGCTCGGGGTCTGGGTCGGGTGGGTGGGGACTCCCAGGTGGCCCCGTGGCAGATGGCCGAGCCCAGGCTGGGACCGCCACTACCAGGGCCACCACCAGGGCCGCCGTCGGGGCAGAGCGGGCAGCAGCAGCAGCCCCGAGGGGACGCGGCGTCCGCACGTCGCCGGCGGCGCTGCAGACCGTCGTCGCTGAGGCCCAGCACGGCCGACAGGTGGCCGATGTAGCGGATGGCCAGGCGCAGCGTCTCGATCTTGGTGAGGCGCTGGCCGGCGGGCGCCACGGCGGGCGGCAGGAAGCGGCGCAGCTCGTGCAGGGCGCGGGCGAGCGTGCGCATGCGCAGTTTCTCGCGCTCGCTGGCGCTCTGCCGCTGCCGGCTGCCCAGGCGGCTGCCGCGTCTCCCCGCCGTCGGGGCGCGGGCGGCTGGACCGCTGTCCCACGGGTCCGGGGACGAGGCTGGGGAGCAGCCGCTGGCCTTGTCGCCGGGAGGTGGCGGCCCCCAGCCCGGGGACAGAAGCCAGGACTCGGAGCGCAGCGGGCACAGGGGCTGGGCCATGGCAGCCGAGACCAGACGCTGCGTCCAGGGCCCGGGGCCGCTTTATCCCCGGCCCGAGGTGTGAAGTGGCCCCTTCCAGGCCACATCAGCACTTCAAAGCGGGCTCGGGGCCTGCGGGGGCGGGGCCTGACTCTTTGAACCGGGAGAGGGGCCACGGTGCCGGTGCCGTGCGGACCCCTTGGTTCGCCCCACCTGGCCCGGGGCCTGGGCACCCTAACTGCACCCGGCTGACCGGGGCCGGCCAGCCATGCAGGTTACAGGAAGCGGCTCACAGACCTCGAGGCCGCTCCCCGCGGCTGGAGCCCACCTTCAGCTATCGGAGACCGTGTGCAAATTCTTCATTTTCTTGCGCTTTAGTTGGCAGCGTGTTTCATGGGAGCCTCCGGGCATGCGCCAGCGGACTGGAATGGGGTAGGGACCGGGCATGGGGCCCTGATTCCCTCCCAGGTCGGGGTAACTGGAATCCATACCTTCTAAGAGCAGAGGGAGGCTGCTGGTGACACAAGGACCGAGCTGTGCCAGGCAAATCCAGCAAGCTGGCCCAAGCCAATGAAGGTGCCGGGAGCACCGGGGCACAGGAAGGGGTGACCCTGCTGCCCCTCTCTCAGAACTCCCCCAGCCTGACAGGATCAGGAGCTTGGCCTATTCTACAGGTGCTCAGCGGCCACCACGGTCCGATTGCTAGTGTTGTGTCACTTTGGGCTAGATACAAGTTTGCCAGTGAAATGTGGTTAGAAGTGATGCCCGAAGAGTATTCGACACAGTTCCTGAGCCCTTCCTAATAAAAATGTTCAGCCAGCGAGTAACGGAGAGGAACTTGCTCTGCCTGGTGTCCACAGGTGGCATCAAAGCAAACAGCGAGTCTGCAGTCTCCCTGGTATGGGGACGTGGAGATACCTGCCCTTGTCACACATATTCAACTTTGGGCTCCAGCTTGGGAGATGAGGAAAGATGGGAGGAAGGAGAGAGAGGAACGAAGGAAAGAAATGAGGGAGGGAGGGAGGGAGGAAGGTTAGGGGAATTAAGTATCCCTCTTTACGTGCCTGACCATCACATTGAAAATCTTGAAGGGCCAGGCCCTGGTGGCTCTCGCCTGCAATCTTAGCTGTTCAGGAGGCAGAGGTCAGGAGGATTGAGGTGCAAAGCCAGCCCAGGCCAATAGTTTGAAAGACCGTATCTCAAAAAAAACTCATCACAAAAATAGGGCTAGTGGAGTGGCTCAAGGTGTTGAGGTGTAAGCCCTGAGTTCAAACCCCAGCACTGCAAAAAAAAAAAAAAAAATCTCGAAGGATCTATCTTGCCTGCCTGGCCCCTCAGACCTTGCACCCCTCAGACAGGTTAGACTGTGAAGTATGTGATTTCGGGCATCACGTCTTTACCTGTTTCTTCTTTGAAAAGGGAATCTAGGGGTGATGTCAGTGCCAGGTGGCCTCCAGCTCCCTCAAGACTCTGGTAAGCTGGTTTGTGGTGATGAAGCCCAGTGGCTTGAATCTGACTCCCTGGGTGTCTCTGCCCACCATCATTTCCCTGGCCTGTCTCTATCTCCTACTGCCTTGGCCTCCCCCAGCACCTTCTACAGCCCCTCCTCTGCAATCTGTCACAACTGCTGTGACATGCCGCGCCCCGGTCACATCAGGAGAAGCACTACCCACCTCCCTGGGGTGGGGAGAAGGTGAGGAGCACACGCCTGAGAGCCCATCCAGTCCCAAGGAGCCCCCCAGCCTACAGCAGGGTCCACCCCTCCGGACGTGGCAGATGGATGCCTTCCCAGGGCACAAATGCCAGTGGGAAGCCCAGGGATTGGGCCTCTTGGATGATGCTGGGCTGGAAGGAACAACAGGTTGGGAACTGGTAGTGCCTGTGTGCTGGGGTTGGGCGGAGAGGAGCTGCAGAGAGACCAGACAGCAGGAAAGGCCAGATGTCAGCAGGCTCTGGTCACACTTGTCCAGGGACTGCCAAGCATGTGAGTGCTCACAGTGCCCTCCCATTTCAACAATTGTCATTTCACATTGTGAGTGAGAAAGATCAGAGCGACCCAAGCTCGTGTTTTATGGTCATGTCTTGTGTGTGTGTGTGTGCAGTACTGGGGCTTGAACTCAGGGCCTACACCTTCAGCCACTCCACCAACCCTTTTTTGTGATGGGTTTTTTCGAGATAGGGTCTCGAACTATGTGCCTGGAGCTGGCTTCAAACCACCGTTCTCCTGATGGCTGCCTCCTGAGTAGCTCGGATTACAGATACGAGCCACTGGCACCCAGCTGTCAGGTCTTTATTTGAAAATAAAGTTTAGTACGCATAGTTTCTTGATCAAAGAAGTGTGCAGGTACAGTGTGCGTAACAAATTTGTCAGCCGGTCCACCTGCTTCTGAAAAGCCACCTTCACTGGCTTCTTGTTAAGGATGCGTTAGGTGCATTTGTGTTTTACGTACAAAATCAACTAGATGTGTCTGGGCAAGAGGCCATATGTGTGGGAGGCACTTCTTATGTTGAAAACACCACCTGCGAATACTCAGATCTGAAACCTGACAGTTAACATTGGGTACATGGGAGCCACAGAGAGATACAGAGCAGGAGAGCATGATGGGAAGAGGCCTGGTGTCAGAGATGAGGGAGGGTTAAAAGGAACAGGGCAGAAGAGGTGGGGTGCAAGGGAGGGCTCTAACTCCAGCCCTATCCCTAGGGTCTTGAGGCTGACAAATTGGAAGTGCCACGTGGAGTGCCTCCCTCTCCTGTTGCCCCTGGGGTCTCTGGAAAGCCATCTCAGGGGCCCAGTTGGTGCCAGGCTGAAGCTGTGGCCAGTACCCTGCTGCAGCCTCCCCCACCCTCCCCCACCAACCTCTCTCCCCTTTGATCTCCTTATCTGGCCAGCCTCTGCAGTGGGTTCATTTGGGAGTTGCCAGAGTTAATGACTTCTCCAGGCCACAGGGCCCACACCCCCTCCCGCTGGGCTGAGGCCTTCACACTTTTGGGGACTGTGTTTTGACAAGTGCCTGGAGCCCTAGGCTTCTGCGCCCCTGGCCCAAGCCTCCCCTTGCAGCCTACGTGTAAGGCTGGGAATCCAAGGCTTGGGGCTACTCCACCAGAGCAGAGGTGAGAGTTCAAGCCTTGGCCTCAGGTGGGGGGGGGCAGGCATAACAGAGCAGGCCCCTCCCAGGCTCAGCACAGCCCTCCACCAGTGCTAGGCCCAGGCTGCTTCCTCCTGCCAAGCCGGGTCTGGTGGGGGGGGGGCCCATCTCAGCACCCTCGTTTCGTTTCTCTGCCATAGGAGTGCTAATCAGAGGTGCTATGTCAATACTCGCCTCGCAGCAACCTAATCCCCACCTCACTGGAGCCAGAGGCCCCAGGGGAAGGAAGCGGCTCTGCCCCATTGCCAGCCTACTTAGCATCAGGGGACACCCCTAATTATGATGTCCGGACAGCTGGGGATCTGCCACCACCCCTCAGCACAGGCCACCCTTCAGGAGAAAGACTGCCAGTTATTATGTCTCCACCTCAGGCAGCCTTGGCCTCCAGGCCGGAGTTGAGTCACTGTAGGTCAGGGTCCTTTTTCTGTACCATTTGGGCATCCACCTCCCCAGGCCTCAGTTCTGCCTGTGTGCCCTGGGTGAGGTGTCCACATCACTGTGACTGGCACTGTGCAGGGGCTGGCTGGGCCACAACTCCTATGACACTCTGTGATGTGGGGGACCTTGCCCCGCGTGGCAGATGAAGGAGAAATCTGGAGAGGTTGTCCCATGTCACACAGCTGCAGGGACAGGGCATGGGGCCTGCCCTTCTTTATGCTTCTCCATCTCCTTTGGAGGACGTGCACCCTGGAGGGACACCCTGAGAATGAGGGGCTCCAGAACCCTTGAGCCCCCCCATCAGGTCTCGCTTCACATCAGAGACTGTGGGGATGCAAAAAGAAAAAGTTTCCAGACCCCACCCAGGTCCTAATGGACGACGGAGCCGGAGCCCCTGGATGTGGAAAGTAAAAGCCCAGAATTCTGATGCAGTGCACCAATCCCGAGAGCAGTGACGGCCCTGGAGGGGATCCTGCTCCTCCGTGGATCCACTACTCACCACCCTCCCTGCCCCCCCAGGGCACAGCATCCTCAGAGGGTCCAGCAGTGCAGCCCCACTTCTCCCCTGCCTACCTTCCATCGGCCTCCCACTAAGGCCCGAGGCTCCAGGGGAGCCCCTGCCAGCACTCATCACCTCTCTCCTCACACCTTTAGCTCTTGGAGCCACCGAGCTGGCAAGCCATATGGAATAGATTATTCTGGACCTAAGGTAATCTGATTATCTGGCCATAGTGCTCAGCCAGTGCCAGTCACAGGCAGCACAGGGGTGACAAGGGGGGCGGGGGAAGAGAGGAGAGAGATTTGCAGATTCCTGGAACGGATGGAGAGGAAGTGCGGGTGTGAGCCTGGAGTGGGCTGATGGTGCCAATGAGAGGGGCACCTCTCTCCTTGGGGTGTCAACACCTAGACTCCTTTGTTTCACCCAGGTAAGTGGGATGCGGCTGAGCCTTAGAGTGAAAACTGGAGAAACTGAGGCATACTGGGATAAAGAGCAGAGCTTGCTCAAAGCAAAGAGGCAGGTGTGAGAATCTGGGGAAACTTGTCTCGTGTGCCTCAGTTTTTCCCGACTGCCTGCTGAGCCATCCTGCAGGAGGAAACCCCATCTCCCAGAGGGTTGACCCTGGCTTTCCAGGGCCCTCGCATTTCCAGAGACTGTCGGCAGAGGGCGCTGCCAGCCACCCAAGAGCTGCAAACTTGAGCAGGGTCTGGGGAACCCTGCAGATATTAGAGGCTTAACCCAGGTTGGGCCCTGCCTTAGGGTGAGACACTGGGAATGCCAGGCTGGCTTGAGAATTGGCGAAGGGTGGTCCAGGACCAGGGTAAGTCTGTGTCAACCTGCTTGCTCCCCTGCCACCAGGAAAACGTGTTTCTGTCAGAACACGCACACGCAGGCACACGCACAGCCCTGGCTGCAGCTAAACCAGAAAAAGCTCAGATCACCAGCTACAGCTCAGGCCGAGGCTGCCCCAGCTCCGAGCCTTTCCAGCTCCCGGGTGAGGATTTGCGGCCCAACTGTGTAACCTGGGGCTCCCAGCTGGCACGCCAGCCTCGCAGAAAAGCACGATGGGACTCAATCA